GGGTCTACAGGGTGTACAGGGTCTCACTATGGAGATCAGACTCGTAGTGATTCTCCTGTTTTTAGCTTCCCAAGCGCTGGGATTACAGGTACGTGCCACCATGCTCAGTCTCAATCCCTGTCTCAGTGTGCTCCAGGGGCAGGGCCAGCAGGACAGGCTGAGGATTGAACTCTCATCCCCTGCATCTGACTAACCAGGCACTGTAATCCATTGTCTCCTATTTTACTTTTTGTTTGAATATGTGGTTTGTTCTCATGTAAGAGAAACCATGTGATACTTGAACTTGTTTGTCTGACATTTCATTTAGTATGTTCTCAGTTGCATCCATTTACCTACAAATGCTTCAAGTTTATTTTTCTTTATATCAGTGTATATTCATTGTGTATAAATGCCACATTTTCCTTATCATCTGTTTATGAACATATGTGCTGTTTCTAAGACCTGGCTCTTATAAATTGTATTCCCATAAACGTGGGTGTGTGGGTCGGGTATAGCTCAGTGGTACAGTGCCTGCCTGGCTAGCATGAGGTCCTGAGTTCAATTCCCGGTACCAAAAACAATAAATATGAATGTACATGTTACCTTGTAATATGATGACTTATTCTTGTTAAGATACCTAGAAGGGAGACAGCAGTGACAACACTTGTGTTCTTGTATAGGTAGCTCTAGCCCTAGCCAATCCTCTCTAAATTGTTGACATTTTTCTTATATCTTTCTCATCTCTTTATATCTTAGGGTTTTTTTTCCCTCTGTCAGATTGCTCTCCTAGAGACTCATTTAAAACAAAATAAACATTTTTATTTCCTTTCCTATTTTTTTCTGAATTTTTTGTTTGATTTTTTTGAGCCAAGGTCTCAGTCTGTAGTTTAGACTGGCTTGAACTCACTATGTAGCTCAGGCTGGTCTCAAACTCACAGCAATCCTTCTGCCTAAGCCTCCCAAGTGCTGGGATTATAGGTGTGTGCTACCACATGCAGCATTACTTTCTGTTTTTTTAAAGAATTTCTTTTTGGTATTTGAGTTTGACAGTATGGTTAAAGCTGTCATTGTTAATCATTTTGCTTTGGGAAGCCATATAGCTGAAATTCCAAGTTAATATTTACATATTTTCTGTGCCGTCTTATCTCTGATTGAGATAAACTTCAGGTATCTTTTTTTTTTTTTTTTTTTTTTTTTTTTTTTCCAGAACCAGGGATTGAACTCAGGTCCTTGTGCTTGCCAGGGAAGCGCTATTCCACTGAGCCATCTCCCTGACCCCAAAAGTGTTGTTGTTGTTGTTGTTGTTGTTTTTTTCAGGTATCTTCTTGAAAGTCTTTTAGTTTGTTTTTTGTATTGCATAGTGTTAGCAGTCAAACCCAGGACTTTACACATGCTAGGTAAAAACACTTCCACTGAGCCATTTGAAGTTTTTCCATTCTTAAAATTATTGGCAGTGAGCATGTTGGGAAATAGTTAAATATTTTATCCTTTTATGTAACTTAAAACAATTATGAAGTAGGAAATTTTAGCTGGGAGTAGTGGCACAGCCTAAAATTCCAGAACTCTGGAAGCTGAGGCAGGAGGATTGTTGTGTGTTCCAGGCCAGT